TATGTTGATATGCCTGTCATCCTGTGCCTTTGTAATTTGTCAACAGATCTTGGTATAACAAACAGGTCACAAGGTTTTGTGCGCAGGATTTTGACAGAGAATTGTCCTAATGGGCTGCCATACGCAACCTGTGTAATTGTGCATTTTCCATTGTCTAAAGTGCAGCTGAGTGACCTTGCGCCAGGAGACTTCCCCATCACACTGGTTAGTTGGACATTCACGACTCTACTCCAAGATTCAGATGGCACCTTGTAAAAATTGCGAATCACTCATTATCAGCTTCCGATCCAACCAGCATTTGTGGTAACAGGACACTCTGCGCAGGGGAAAACACTTCCAAAGGTCTTAACAAATCTACACGAGGGTGGATTTGCTGCTTATGTTGCTGCATCTTGTGCACAGACTCGCGATGGTTTGTGCATATCTCGTCTGGTGACACTTGATCAGTTAAACAATCCTCTTCCTTCAGATCTATTACAAGAAGCACAAAGATTTGATGCGATAGAGCACAACACGTATATCAAGCACAGATTCCGTGATGGCACTGTTGTGGATGTCCCGGATGCAGAAGCTGAGTATTCGATGAAGCATTCGAAAGTGGTTGCTGCAGAGTTTGATACTGATAATCCGCCAGCAAAGATGAAACACAAACACAAGTTCTCCGAAATTGATGTTGGGATTGATGACTCGCAGCCTGCACTTCACAATCACAACAAGCATCTCAAGGGTCACCTTCCTGGTCATGAACCACAGTCCCTCCATTGTCTAGCGAAAATTAGTGCTGGATGTACCTGGTCATCGGAGGACTGGTCGTGTTCTTACAATAGTGTTTTCATGGTTCTGTTTCATGCTTATCGTTGTGGAGACACTATATGGAAGAGTTTATGGATCTTCAATCAGGATGAACTGCGTGTGTCACTCTCTCACTCTTTTTGTGTACTGGTGTCTCAGACTCGCATCCATTCACAGGATCTCTTCAACCGTTTCCATGACGATTTCCGGGATGTTCTATCTGCATGGAATCCACAACACTTCCCTCGTACCAGTATGGTAGGGGCTTCCATCACTCGCATGCTCGAGTCTATTCTGCCTTCATTATCGCACTTGCTGTGTGGAATTGCATCAATTACAGACCCGGAACATGACAGTATCCCAGCTGTGACTTCAGTTGATCTCTCGTTCGAATTCCCGACCATGTGTGTTCCATTACCTGAATCTGTAGTTGCATGCAATGAATCTATTTCCTTGCAGCAGTAGGTTGATCTATGGCTTCATTATCACGCGAAGAGATCTGCTATACCCAAGGGAGTGGTGTCTGCCCAGAACATGTCATTGTGTGATGGAACTTTTGCATGGAACATCAAGTTGGCGACATCTCCGTGCTTCATTTTTTTCCATGTAATTCATTGCTTGGTCAAACTGTCCCTCAGGCTCACTATTCCTTGTTTGACAGACAAGCAAACACAGTACGCTCTTTGCAGAATCATATACTTAGGTGGCTATCATTTTTTGGCTTGGATTTTAGATGGCAGAGAAAATGATGGAAACCCTCATTTTGACACAAAAATCTCTGAGATAAATAAATTGGATATTTCTTGCCTGAATGGTTGGGAGGTGCACATCTATGTCTATAGCCTCCAAAATGCCAATCAACTCCAGACTTAAATTGAATGTTGCGCCTATGTCTGCAGTCTATAAAACACTGATCACCTCAATCGTTCATGTACCTTTAGACTTCTACACAAGGCTTCTGCAAATCAGTTGCCTTGCATCTTGCATCGTGGTATGTGCAATTATTTTATTTATTTTGTTTTTGTGCTGTTCACTGCTGCTCAAATTTGGTCTTATAGACTATACTGTGCACCATATAAAAACCCAGCCGGTGTGATTCTAACCTCCAACCAACCATCTACTTTTGCCTTATTTGTTGTGCTAAGCGTCCTTCAGTTTTGTACAATGTCTCAGCCATCAACCCCTGTGCCTTCCCCAGATGCTCGTTCATTGAGCACCCTTTCCTACCCTACGCCATCTCAGGAAAATACTCCTGACGCCTCTGCTGGTAGTTCTACAATGAATTCATCTCCGCTTTACACGTCGCTTATTGGTACTGTGAACTCTCCCTTTGCTGCCGATGCAGAGATGTTAGTGAACATCCCTATCAACAATAACCCCCGTCCTCTTCGCTCTGTTTTCAATGATGGTGCAAACTATTGGGTCGGTCCTGACAGCAATGTGCTCTGCCTTGTGTTTCCAGCCAAGTTGCACCTCAAGGGCCGTTACAATAAGTCTGGAGAGTACTTCAAGCTCCCAGAAACAGGTGTAAGTTTCTGTCATCCAGCTGCTAATAAAGACCTCTTACAAACCATATGTCATACAGCTTGATCTCACTGATATCAAAAACGCAAAAATCCAGTTTGAAGTCCTTCCTTTGGACGACAAAGAGAAGGACTGCCCTGTCTTGGTGATAGGGTGCTCCCAGTTTGCAATGACGCTTCTCTGCGCTCTACATTTGGAGGCTGAGGAAGCCTGCAATGCATGTGAGTTGTTTACTATGTCCTTCACTTGCACACAAATTCATTGATTCGCTAATACAGCATTGGATGTGGGCACAATCCCTCTGAATGTGCCATTTTGGCACACCTACAAGGAAGATGATAAGTACAGCCTTGTTGTCACGGCTGGCACCGCATTCAAAGATGTACCAGATCTGAAAACGGCAACGACTCCCCGAATGTCTCATGCTGAGGCTATTAGTAAGTCAAATTCAACTACTATACCCCATCCAACTGATGTAAAATCTCGAAACAGAATGCGTGGGTCTGATGAGTCCAAGTGAGTCCGTCATTATTTCTGCTTTGGCACAATTATAACCTGCTCTCGTGATTGTAGGCAAGGCAAGGGCAAATGCCAAAAAATTCAGTCAGGTCCTTGACAATAACGAAGGCAAGAAGTCTTATAGCATGTTTTATGTTTTATGTTTTATGTTTTATGTTTCGAGCTATGACATCCTGACCGTGCAAATACTAGCAGGTTCTTCCTGGCACATTTGTGACCTCGAAGATTCAAGGGGTCGATACTTTGCCTTGTTGAACACATATGATCTACATGGCACAAGGGTTCAGAGCCCCAACATCCAAGATGAGCATGGTGTTCGCATTTACGTCAGCGACTACAAGACCAAACTCAAAGAGGGTATGATTGTTGAGTTAGAGGTCATCTTAAAACTGTAAGTCCTTGGTTCTTTTGAATAGGTTCGATATTCTGATGTCTTGTAGGTGGACTATCAAACCACATAGAGACAACCCCAACCCCCGTGATGTCAATGGTTCTCATATATACCAGATCATGCTGCAACACATGCAACTTCTGCCTTGCACTAAGTACACTCAGCCCATTTTTGTGGACTCGCTCAAGGATAGGAAGGGGAAAAGAAAGGCTGCGGACAAGACGACAGGGCAGTTGCCCACTAAAAAAGGTTCTTTTACTGGTGTGTCTGATGAGGACAAGTTGGAGTATACTATGGTCAAGTAGGTTCACGTGATTGTCTTTCTTGGTGGCTTTTTTTTGTCTTGGGCTCGATTCTGCCGCTCAAACTGTATAAATGACCTATACTATATTGTTGTTATGAATATCTGCGAATCATATCTTGTCTGTGTTTTCTTGTGGAGTCGGGGATTGGCGCTTGCGCTGCTACAATTAGTTACAGTGCTTTGCATAAAAAAACTGCAGTCGTCCGCATGGCAAACGTGTTTGGTCAGGCTTGCTTGTCCATTTGGAGAACAGATCAGTGACCTGTCCCACCATGGCTCCTCACCTCAGCCCACAGCTCAGGGAACACATCATAGTATGGCACTATGAGCAAGGAAAGAATGCACAAGAGATCGCCGAGCGGGCAGGTTGTTCCGAACAGACCGTTTTATGATATATTGTGCTTGCATCGCAACTTTGGTCAAACCACCATCCATTCGTTCATCAGAATGCGTGGCCTCGTAGTCTTGAACTGGACGACATGAACTACATCTATTCCATACTTGAAGCCAATCCGGGTCTATATTTAGATGAGATACAGCACCTTAATGATGTTTGTGATGTTGATGTTTTGATTGCAACTATATCACGAGCACTTCGGAGACTTGCATTCACACACAAGCAGGTAGCAAAGGAGGCTATGGAGAGGGATGAGCTAGTTCAGGCAACTTGGCAGGCTCAATATGGAGACATACCAATAGAATGCTTTCTGTGGCTCGACGAGTCCAGTGTTGATGATCACACTAATCAATGACAGGGTGGATGGGCTCCAATTGGTTGCACATGTGTTCAGCAGCAGACTTTCATCTGTGGGTAGTGGTTCTCGGTAGCTGGTGGCTGGCTAACTGGTTGGGCAAGCAGCCCATAGTGTGATATTCATGCATGATTGTATTACATTTGTAAGGCAATCATGATGCATGAACAGTTACTGCACCTTTTGAGGCACGCTGGTGAATCTTTGCGAATCCCTAATGCATCAGTGATGCATTAGCGCTCTAGCTCACCGGGGTGCTTCTATTTGCCCAATTTGGCCATACAAAAAGGGGAGCGCTAATGCATTAGCGCTCCAGCTCGGGGTGCTACCATAATTGCCTAATACAGCCATACAAAAAGGTGAGCAGGCTTCCGTTACCCCTTACCTTTGGGACCATTAAATATTGGGGCTTCCTGTACCTGGCTTTGACATCAAAGTTCGACCTGGCTACGTATACCCCATACCTTCGTTCCTGAGCTCTATCGTTAAATAACACAAGTTTGTACTCGGCATTTCCCGAATGTCTGAAAATTGACGAAGTCCATAGTATTGTGACAACAGCATTTCCTGTGTGCCCAAATTTTTTTTAAGTCCTCCAACTGAGAGCGGCGAGAGTCAGAATGTTGGGAAGTCCATACATGCACCATGATCCAGAGGTTATTAACAAAATTAAATTCATTATACACAAAGTACGATACTTCCAATTGAAGTAAATATGCTACAAAGTCTTTGACTTTTTAGACCCGTGAATTACATCCTCGCCTTTGTGCTTGCTGCCCCATTTTGAGTTTCCACCAATGACATTGTCTAGTTTGCGCCGGTTAAAAGGGACTGATGGGCATGCCCTACCAGTATGTCGAACAGGTTGATCATCCTCTGGAAGAGGAGCAGGGGCTGGCTGAGATGCAGGATTAGTAGGAAGTGTGGGAGGTTGAGGCATAGGAGGCTGAGATGCAGGGATCACTGGGGCTGGCTGAGGCGCAGAGATCACTGGGGCTGGCTGAGGCGCAGAGATCACTGGGGCTGGCTGGGACGCAGACGCAGGAGAGGGAGGTATAGGAGGCTGAGGTGCAGGGATCACCAGGGCTGGCTGGGACGCAAATTCAGGGATCACCAGGGCTGGCTGAGACACAGAAGAGGGAGGCATAGGAGGCTGAGGCACAGGGATCGCAGGAGAGGGAGGTGCAGGGATCACCGGGGCTGGCTGGGATGCAGACACAGGGATCAACGGGGCTGGCTGAGATGGCTGAGACGCAGACGCATCAGATGGAGGGATCAGCACTTCACATCCCCCTGGAGGAACAATGGGCAACTGTAAGTCACTGGTCTCCATGCTCAGGTGTGTTGTACATACCTAGGTCTTTCAGAGATGTCTCAAGAAGAGCCAATGCAGCATCGTAGTCAGCACATTGAAGACTGTCATAGTCAATACCATCAGTGCGTGGTTCATGCTAGAGGAATAAACAATGTTAGTCACGTGTATTATTAGTAATGGAGGCTGAGCTTACCTCCTGCACACTGTTTGGCTGTGATGCATTAAAGTTGTCAGGAATCCAGTCCTTCAGCTGATAAAGTGATTCCCAAGAGTCTGACTCTCCCACAGTTCCAACATTGTCTCCTACCATCTCAGCAACCTCATCTCTCTCTCTCTCAGCAACCTCACAGCTAGAGTCATCCTCGCTTGACTCATCTGAGTCATCATCAAGGTCACTGGCGTTGTCCTGCTCAACAGCCGGTAGACTTTCTTCATACTCTTAACATTGCATTTAATGTTAGTAGGTCTCGCAATCTTCATATGACTCCCACACCACTTACCAACACTTTTCTCTGCAAACCTCGCATACGCCCTAAGCACCTCGCCATATCTACAGTGGCTCAAAAAACTGTCCGCATGTTTGTGCTATTTTCACTATCTACATTATTGTATATGAATGGACAGGTAGACCAAGGTTATGCTAGTGGGGTACTCTGTAGTACTCCCTTGGGGCATGAATGTGAGCCCTTGACCGTGGGAATCCATGGTAATGTGGTGGCACTATAGGCCTTAAAAAATGATGACTCATGTGGACAGTTTTTTGACCCAAGTATTTTACACAGATAATTAGCTGTTCTAGTATTTTGTGTGACCTCCCTTGCCCTTAATTCCTGCCTCTATCCTTCTAGGCATACTTTCAATCAATTTCTGACAATCCTCTGCTGTAATCTTTCCCCACTCCACTGTAACTCTCTCCTATAACTCCCACACTCCTTTAGGAGGGTGTTCATAGGCTAAAAGCTTCTTCTTGAGTACTCCCCAGAGGTGTTCAATGACATTGACATCAGGGGATTGTGCTGGCCAGTCAAGGAGGTGAATATTTTGCTCTTCAAACCATTCTCTGGCTCTTCTGCATGTATACTTGGGATCATTATCCTGTTGTAAAATAATGTCTTCTTCATCAATTCCTGATTCTGCCATGGTAGGCAGCAAGTGGTGGTTGAGGATGTCCACATACTGCTCAGCATCCATCCTCCCCTCAACTTCTGCAAGCATTCCCACACTATTCCACCCCATAGTTCCCCATACCATTAGAGAACCTCCTCCAAACTTGAGAGTTCCATTAATCTCTCTGTCTGTAAGAGGGCCCCCCTTCTTTTTCCACACATATACCTTCCCATCTGACCCAATTCTATTGATTTTAGTCTCATCAGACCATATGACCCGCTTCCAGTCCTCTACAGTCCAGTTTTGATGGGCTAGGGCAAAGGCTAGTCTTCTCTTCCTATGAGTGATGGAAAGAAGAGGCTTTTTCTTCTTTATTACAGCCCTAAGATTGGCTTCCTTAAGGACATTCCTCACTGTTTGTGAAGAAACTGGAGTAGGGATGATGGAATTGATATGATGAGTGACTTGGACAGCATTATCAGCCTTTCCTGTGGTGATATGTTGGATAATGACCCTCCTATCAGTAGAGGTGAGTTTGGATGGACAACCTCCACTGGAGTTTTCCTTGTCTGGGTGACATTCTTTGATGAGCTTAGCTACAGTAGACTTGCATACACTAGTTCTAGAGGCTATTTGATGAGTGGAGAGGCCAGTAGTAGACAGAGAAAGGATATTAACCCTTTGAGCAGAGGAGATGGTTTTCATGGTGATTATGACTATGATATATGGGACACACTTCATTATATACTTAGCAATAGGTTTAATAATGTCATAATGACACCACTTCATAATTTAGTTAATAGTGGCATGACTTTATGGTGTCATAACTAATGATTTATATAATTTTAATCTAGGATCAAAAAACTGTCCGCATGAGTCATCATTTTGTAAGGCCTATAGCACCACCACATTACCATGGATTCCCACGGGCAAGGGCTCAAATTTACGCCCCAAGGGAGTACTACAGAGTACCCCACTAGCATAACCTTGGTCTACCTGTCCATTCATATACAATAATGTAAATAGTGAAAATAGCACAAACATGTGGACAGTTTTTTGAGCCACTGTATCATATGAGTCTAAGAATTGCCCTCCTGTAGTGCATTCTCCAAGGTGGTAACTGTTTCAAATCAATCAATTGATCAATTGATGAAGAATTGTATAGATAGGTGATTCACACACTCAAAGAATTGCATAGTGCCTCCAGCTTCAGTATCACGGCCACCCATGAGGACCGAGAATTTCCATCCTCCTGTCATGTGGCTTAGGTGTCGGAATATGCGATCTAACACACCTGGAAGCTTGTGGATTGCCCTGTCCACTTGTCAATTTAGTGGTGAATATCCTGACCAAAGGTACATACCTCATCTTTGTCTCATCATCTACCTCTTCCCTTATCTTGGCTCTCGCAATCTTGCGAGCTTTCCTAAACTTCTTGCACAACAATTTGTGCTTCTTCCTAACTTTGTCTTTTACAGTGCTTGACTCTGCCTCATATTTCTCCGCTGTGATCTCATGATGTACAAGGAGCTTGGAACCATGAGAGGTGATGTTTCCCTTTGCAATCGCCTCGTCAGCTGACTGCTTGACATTGTCCGCATAGTACATTTGGGAGTAAACCTCCACTTCCTTCAGTGCCCGTGGGCCCTTCGTTTTCTTGCCTCCTGCAAGTACTTCTTTGATGCTGAGGACCCCCCTGGATCCGCCCGAATGCACAAGACATGTTGGATTTGTTTGCCAGCGATACCAGCACATGATTTGCTGTGACTAGTGGTCAGCAAAGACTTTGTTAATGTAACAACGGTACACACAAATTTTCGCTGTTTCAGTGGCTCCTTAATCACCTCCTTTTGTTCATCAGTTAGATCATTCTCATTCTCGATGTCAGGGAAAAATTGTTTGTGGATTGGCCATTCAGTGAAGAATTTCTAGTTGATCTTCGGCCAGAACTGTGAGTAATTCTTCGAAGGTATGCATGTCTGATAATCAGCTAACAAAGACTGCAGGACCGCTTCTTGCTTGCAAGTAGTCCACTTTTTTGGCGCCATTGTGTCGAGGACAGCACAGTGTCAGCAGGCCACAGAGTGTGTTGGGGGGAGGGGAGGGGGTTCATGTACCAGGAGACCCACACATAACATTTAATGCATTATTTTAGTGACATTACCGGTATCCATGTAAATACTTCGCTGTCAAAATGAGGATCTCTTTCAAACATCTATCTACATACAAAGAAGCAATTTTGGCATCCAGCCGCATCACCAAGTAGTTTCTCCGTCTCCGAGGCCACTGTTGTGCAGGTCATTTGCTGCACTGCACACCGAACACAACCGCAACACTCACTGTATATCCAAATGAGCTTGAATATGTCTAGCGGTGAAAAAGCACTGTTGAATGTGGGCTGCCTTTCTGCACATGAAATAGTTCCGGATCAACTGCAAATAAATGAGCAACATCTGGACTACAGTACAAGTACATCTGAACTGCACCTCTTGGTGTTTTGGTATCCGCACCTGGATTATGGCCTCCCCCAACCTGCTAATCTTCAGCTCCCCACCCTGGTAAATGATACCGGCAAGGTACATATTGCACTCAGGCCACCGAGCGAACCAAGCCTCATAAATAGATTCAAAGAACTCATCATAGCAGCTCACAGCAGTGTGAGAGAATTCATCATACCATTCAGCAAGAAAGGCACATTGAGCTGGAGACGTTAGTGCTTCAAACGTTCGAGTCATTGGAGGCAGTGAGTGCAGGATGGAAAGAGCGACAGGTAGGAGGTGAATCCTGGAGGCGATGAGCGCGGGAGGTGAATCTCGCTTGATTCAAATAAGGGAGGCAATGAGCGTGGGATAGAAAGAGCAGGTGAATCCCGCTTGATTCGAATGAGTTCTCTGAAAGAAGGAAATGTATCAAAGTCATGCATTACAATCAACATGACTCGATCTCTACCTTCACTCAGGCGCTTCACACTCCTGCTCACACACAAAAAAGACTCAGAGGTACATTTGATGCCCGCTCCAGAACTTGGCCTGATGCGATTGAGTAGATGTCAAACATGTGGCAGCCAACATGCGAACAGCATGCGTGGTTAATGCCCTGGAGACATACTGTGGCCTGACCAGCAGGAGGTGAACTTAGAGCTGACCGCTGACTGGGAGTTGAACTTGGAGCTGACTGAAGATCAAAAGAAGGAGCTGCGTTCAGCAGAAAAAGCACGCAGAGAGGTGAGCCACCACAACCCATTGCCCAATGGAGAGCTGACAGTTGATGATGGCGGATTTTAGACGTTGTTGAGTTGGTTGGGGTGGGCATGGCTGAATGCGAGATGTGCTCATTCAATGTACGGTCGTTCGGGGTGTTGTGGGACAGATGATGGTCATTGTGTGAAGTACCCTATCGCACCGGACTTGCTGATGCTTGGCAACAATGAACAAGTGCGATTAAGTGATATGTAGATGAGCGCTAGTTCCATAGCTGTTGAAATAAGAATCCATTACTGTTATACTTCTCTCACAAGTCTGTATCGTCCACCAGAACATCACATAACACATCCTCCAGTGCAGAGAGCATGCCCTTGACAGTTTTTGTGGCAAGACTGGCCTTGGCGTACCTTTTGCCAGTACTAATTCCCTGCACAAGTAAGTCATTTTCCACCTGCCGATTCTCAACGAATATCTCATCTATCACTCCTATGACTGCCCGAAGTTTCTCTGACGACTTGGTCTCCAAGTACTCCAGCAACAGGCCACCGATAACTTTGTGAGGTTGGCCTCCAAGATAAGTCGTCAAATGATCTTGCTTGCAGTGCGTGTTATTCGTCGGTCCGCCGCTGATAGATACATCATGTTCAGAGGTATGTTCAGAGGTACTTGAATCCTGTGCACCATCCCTTAAAAGCGCTCAGAACGGAATGCACTTATGAGGAGATTCGAGTCACTCATGCCATTGAAGATGGACTCGGTGAAACATTCCCCTTGTCCTGCCTGGCTCATTGAGAGTGATATCTGGATTTGCGCTTCAAATTAATGATAGACTGATGCCTGTGAGATTGAGGTGAGAATATCAGCTGTGTCATAGCCCGTACCAAGTATCAACTACAAGTGTATATTTACATACCGTGTGTAATATGAATGCCCATGCATTCATTTGGCTTCTCTACGTTCTTCAGGAGTATGATACAGTTTCAGTCGACCCATACATGAGGATGACAATGGAAGTAGAACGAAATTCTTGCGACTGTCAATGTTGGTCAGATTTGGGCTTTGCAACCAGTAATTTTCATCCGACTTTTATAGGACTTAAACCCACCAATGTCAATTGGCAGCATACTTTGTCCTGACGTCTGAACACACTCCTCACCACATATTCAGGTAAAAATCCTACAGGTCTACAATAGAAATAATGTCAGTCTTGATTCATGTGATCCAGTGCAGCCGCCATTATAAGAATCATCTATGAACGGTGAAAACATGCGCTGTCAACCAATTTCAATCCGCCTGATGCTTACATTTCTGAATTTTGGAATGTATGGGGCATATACCATCATTATTGGGCAAGAAACACACAAAACACACATAGGACGAGTACAAGCGGGTACATAATTTGTATATACATATGGTAGGTATCAGAAGGGCTTATTAGACCGGCAACTCCTGCACAGTACCATCTTGAAGAGCCTGTGCATATGCCTCATCAGCACTCGCACGAGAGGAATACCATCCAAAGCAAGCACCAGGCACACTAATGACATGGGAATGCACGTTATGCCTATAAGAAAATTAGTGAGTCTGCTAGAATGAATGAACAGGATACATACCATCCTTGAAAAACGCCAGTCTCCCGCCCGACGGTAATAATGTACCAGCGGGCAGAAGCTGAAGTGCTTCCATGAGCCGTTGTAGTGGCAATGGCTGGAGTCACAGTGCCTGGAGTCGCGTTAGGTACCACAGTGTTGGCAGCAGTGTCACCAGCTGGTCCAACATCAATGGTGGTGTTCAAGGAGCTCAAACTGCTCACAGAGGTCCAGGCACTCTGCACCTTGTCTGGCATCTTCCGTTAGAAACTGTCAAAGCTGAGGAAGTAAGCACTTACCTCCTTGAGACACACCTCCATGCTGAATCTGAGCCTCAGACACATAACAAGTGTGTGTGTGAGCACAAAAAACACAAGCAGGGCAATAACCGACTGCAATCACTTCCGCTACCTATTCAGGCAGGTCGGCCTCAGGATCAGCCTGACTGTGGGCCACCTTGAGGGCTGAAAATGATTTCAGCGTGTTGACCTGCAAGTATTATTACACTGGCTTACTAAGCTGATCATGCAGAAGCTCCACCGCCGTAACCAATTCAGACAAACTGAAGGTCTGTTCCTTGATGAGCGTAGGAAAAACTTTCATTTTAATTGAATGGCGGTGCAAGAGGGAACAGGACTGGATGATGCTAAGTGTGAAGGGGTTTGGTGGCTAGTGGTAAGTAAAATCTTGTTTCAATTGCATCTTATATCACACTCACGTTGACAAACTCCACCAAGCACAGTTCTCACACTACATAAGACTTGGAGGATCCCGAAGTACAGTAAGTGATCCTCCTTATGATTCCTTACGCTCATTGCTCCGACAGCCCACACTTGCATCGGATACGACATAGAAGACCTCCCCTATGATGTCAAGCTCCAGCGATGTTCCAGCTGTCCCACCCATCCCACCCATCCCAACTGTCCCACCCATCCCACCCCCACCAAAAGTAACTGTCATTCCAGTCGGGATGCTGCCTTGGACATTCCATGAAGTTAACAGTCGTGGTCGTGGACACGGACGTGGACCACATGGCATCAAGCTTGGTTGTGGTAGCGGGCGTGGGTGCATGCAATCTTGTTTCAATGAATATGTAGTCCTTCCTTCATCTAGTGTGCCCTCTGCTCATGAGAGTGTGAAATTTTCCTCCCTGTCACGTGGTCTTTTAACATCTCGCCAGACTGTCTTCAAAGATTCGGTACCCTCCTATGTTGCAACTGATCTTGGTGCTAACATCGGCGACTATGATCATCCCTATTATGATCACTCTCCGATGGATGAAGACACACCATTTGAAGCGGACATAGGAGATCAGGCCAAGCATGATTGCACACCTGCTGTTCGTGCAGAACTTCCCACTTGCCTTGTGCATACTTACCCTTTCTAGGATAATCCTCTCCGTTGTTGGATAGACCACGGCCATGAACTGTTCCTTCTTGAAATGCTCCGTCACGATGGAAGAGGCTGTGATTCTTCGTCCAACTTATGCAGGTCCTGCAGGATGAATGTCAGCTTGTACCGCTGCAAAGATTGTTTTGCCCCTGATTTATTATGTCAAGCGTGCATTATTTATGCTCATGCTCATTCACCAGTGCATCGTGTGGAGGTGAGTGTTTTTCTCGATTGAGATGCTGCCCATGATTGATGGGAACACAGAAATGGAACAGCGCCTATTTTCAAAGTGTAACCCTCAAAGATCTCGGTCTTCGCATCCAACTTGGTCACAAGGTTGGCGACTCATGTCTGCTTCCTACTCGAGCCTACAATGACAATTTTATTCTGGTCGACACCCTAGCTATCCATCCTGTTGCCATAGACTTTTGCGGGTGTGATAAAGTGCAATCCCACATTCAACAACTCTTACATGTCGGATGGTTCCCTGCGACAACCAGCGACCCAAGAACCACGGCTACTTTTCGTGTGCTCTGTCAATTTCACATTTTATCATTCGAATTGAAGGTTTCTGCCTACGAGTTCTATCACTCCTTGGTTCGCTTGACTGACAATACTGGTCTTTTGAAGCGGAATGACCATTACGAGGCATTCATGCGCATGGTGCGTGAATTTCGGCATCTCAAGATGTTGAAGCGAGCTGCCTGCGGACACGACCCATCTGGCATCACTGCCACACAGCAGGGCGATTGTGCGGTATTATGTCCAGCTTGTCCTCAATCCGGGAAGAACATCCTGGATGATTGGACACTTGCTTCGAAAGCAAGGAGGTACGTACTTACTTAATTTATGTCAACAACTTCTTGATGTCTCTAGATGGTTGTATGCTTCGTTTTTCACCATCGACGCTAACTTTCGGCTCAAGAGATGGATAGTCTTAAAAGACACCATGGATCCCAGCTTATCAAATGGGTGGAGTTATTTTGTCGACGAGACTGCATACCGGTCGTATCTGAACGATCATGGCATGGAGACCCAGGAGGTGCATATTCAATTTTTAACTTACATAGAAGCTCACGTTAATGGGACGTAATGCAGAAAAGCTCATGCGCTAGTCACAACGCAGTGAACATGGCAGAGTCCAAGTCATTGAAGGGCCTGGCAGCTACAGGACTTGGCACAATCAATTGTGCACGCCATAACATGAAACTTCCTAATAGTGTGGGTGACTTGCAGAAAGGCAAGAGGTATGTACTGTTTCAATGTTTGCGTATTCGCATCACTGACTTACCAACCTCAGATATATTAATATGGATTTTTTGTTCTTTTCGACCTTACGCCACCGCTCTGTGGAAGTTCTCGACATATCATACAATATTGTGTGCCAATGGCACAAACATCTCTGGTCTAGAATGGCGACACTTCCAGAAGATTACCGCCTTGATCACACTTCCAAAGACATCCGCTTCTTTGTCCCTAAGTTCTACCTTCCCACGCATATCGCAAAATGTCAGACATCTTTTTCTTTCAACTGGTCTCGTTGGGTTGGGCGCACTGATGGCGAGGCTCCGGAGCGCAGATGGTCTAATATCAACCCTGTGGCATCTAGTATGAAAGAGATGGGCCCAGGCAGTCGACGGGACACTTTGGACGATCACTTCGGAGACTGGAATTGGAAAAAGGTTGTCAATCTAGGTAAGTGGTTGTCATCCCCCGAAGATGCAGCTCTAACTACTTTCAGGTGCAAGCTTGCTATGTAAGATGAAAGAAGCAATGCAGGAGAAGGCTGGCTTCCAAGTGGCCTTCGAAGAACTCAACACAGCCATCACCAAACAACATCGCACAACCTGGGAAGCCAAGGTAGAACAGTGGGAGGCTAATCCAACCGATACAAGCATCCCAAATCCGTTTGAGGTGAAGTCAGTTGGTATGTGTCTGCTGTGAGACTTGTGAATGAAGGAGCTAACTTATTTTTAGCAATCACCCAGGCTGGCGCTCATCTGAGGCTAGCAGAACTGGAGGGTCGGGAACTTGAAAGCGGCGCAGACATATTGCTGCATCCTGAGGTCTCAGCGGCGGTTTTGATTGGCTTGGGGCTGGACTTAGAAGAAGATCAGTGAGTTCCATGCATTTGTCTCCTGATTATGAAGCTGAGGGATTTTACAGACAATGGGTTGCTAGGTTTGCGAAGGGTCTCGGTAATCATGTGACAGACACACAGAAAGGGAAGTTGCAGTGCCAGAGAAATGTGTTACATTGCAAGATCGAGTCATGGCACACAGCACAAGCACTGTACATGCCTATCATGCAGAGCATCCTCTCCACCTCAACTTCGACCTCGTCAACCTCTGTGATCGAGCATGCAGAGGACTCAAAGCTCTGGCTCCCTTCAGCTATCGAAAATCGTCCATGTCCCGCCCATCCCCAATTTTATGAGTGGGAACTCCACCTGGCCCAGGCACACGACGCACTACAAGAGCTCCATCAATGTCTACATATACATTCATCACTCCTGACATACAAGAAGGTGTGGGTGCGCGGGCAGGGTGCGAATACAAGGGCTCAGAATGCCTTGGAACGTGTCCTTGGACGACAAGCCACATGCACTGTAAGGTACCATGCTGCGTGGGATGCATTAAATACCCTGGTGCGACAACTTGGAAAGGTGGGGTGGCAAGGCGGCCTTCAGTCACTGCACCCTGATGATATACGACCACTGATTGATCTGGATATCATGCCCAGGCAAGGGAGACGGAAGTTGACATGGATTTGGACCATGACTGGCGTGGATAGTAATGGGGACGGCACAGATGACAAAGGTGAGTTGCAATGTTTGGAATCACAGGATTAACTAGCATATATCATAGGCGTGAGGGTGCAATGGTGCAAAGCATGAGCTCGCGCGATGTGGTGGGCCGAGGAGGTTGAGCTACTCCATGAGGAAATGCGATGTGTTCTCAAGTTTTTTGAGTGGCAGGCCAACTGGTGGGTTGAGCAGGGGCATCGGCATACTGAGATGGACGTAGAGTGTCTTGAGGGCATCCGTGCTTATGCTACCAAGCAGGCAAGCATTCGCCGGGCGTTTATTGATCATTTCCGGATCTTATGGTCTCCCTTTTTATCATCTGACAGAGCTCTCTCAAACATAGACTCAGACGATGATGCTGACCTCCCGGATCTCTCAGCACCGCCTCTCCCTGAGATGTAATGTACACCATACATTTATTTGGCACGGAATATATGTTTTGCACGGACAGTCTATTTTGTATGGAAATGCGGGGAAATGCTTCTTCTAACTGTACCTATGAGGGGAAGGTACTTCTTGTCATCACCAACAATACCGTGCCTTCCGATTGATTCTTGTCATCACCATGCCTTCCGATCGAGGACCAATTCAGAAGTACTGGGTGCTGAGTGTCCTACGGGTGACTGTCTTACAACATGTAATGGCTTGATGCATGATTATGCGTTACAAGTAGTAAGCCTTCATGCATCACCATTGTCTTACTATCATAATGCTTAATGCATTGCCACCCCAGGGTGTTGTGGGGCAAGGTGTCCACAAACATGGCGAGGATTGACTATTTCCTCTTGCGAGATATAGAAATGAGGCGGATTGAGAGCACCATCTATAATACTTACAAGTTATGTGTCTGCTCTTGCTCAGACTATATGCTATGTTAAGTTTCAACCATGAGTTCCATACGACCTTTATCGCTCACTGCTTGAGATGCAATTGAAGATCTCCTGATGGACTTTATGAGTGCCCTTTCAATGACACAACACCAGCAAGTTCTTGAGGCCTTCTTGCAACTCAATTTTCTTTCCCACGGATCACAATATCCGAAATTGTTCCAGCTCAGATGCCTCATATCATTACTTTCTGCAAGACACGTTGTACTTCGAGCTGCAACAGGCTCTGGAAAGTGCAAGTTGGAAGTTCTCCATACGATTTATTGAGCCGATGTCATCTGAACGCAAAAGCTGGGCACTACAAACTTGGGAGTTTGTTGATTGATCATTGATGCAAGGAATTGCCTGGTTATCAAGATCATGCAGGCCAAATCCGAGCTGCTCTAGGTATGCATTCCGTGCAACTTTAATGTTGCCATCGGTGGTGGACTCGTCATTTGTTGTGGTTCTCAACACGTACTCTTGAGTCTTTGATTGCGAAGGTGGTGGTCGGTAGGAGTGATGTTTGAATGCTGGAGAACTCGTGAGATATTCAAAACCAGGATGATTGTCAATTAGAATTTTAATGATGTCAAGGACCATATGTTCGGACATATCACACATTTGTGAACGTGTAGGGCAGACGTCCTTGACAAATGTAATCAGGTTGCATTTAGCACGGTTTTCGAGTGTAGGTTGAAGCTCTACATCTCGCATTGTTGTGTTACGAAGGGGATAGATAATAGTTGTGGTACCCGATTGGACTTTTGGTGGAGCTAAGGGACGTTGTTCAACATCAATTGAAGTGGATACTTGGATGTTATCCCATCCGATCATATGCGGTCCACGAGATACTAGACGTGCACGCTGAATCTGGCTGTCAGCCATGGCAGCATGAGCATTGTGTAATGTGTCATAGGCAAGAGAAAGACCACAACATGCAAGTAAATCAATGGTTTTGCGTGATGAACCACCACTAAATAAACATAATCCATGGATCATCTGGAAGGCACAATTGTTTTGGGAGCGAATGTTCACAATCTGCGACTCAATTGCGGTACAGTACTGTTCATAAATTATTCATCATTAGTACATATGATCACCTGAATGCACACAACACTTACCGTCTTGATGTTCTGCTTCTTGTTCTCCTTTGCAGCTCATGCTGTCTGCATAGCTGACAAAAAGATGTGTCATAGCCATGGAGTGGTTTCTCGTAGTTGTGCCGTGAGCAAAGCATCAAGGTCAAATGAGAGGAGTAGTTCGGGGGTGACATCTTTTGATGACATGCCAAAAATATCCTTAGCAGCCTCCATCTCAGCATCAACCTCATTGGTGACTATTTCGATAGCGATTGGTCGTAAAATGACATGAAGTTGCTCCCTCACTCGCTCATCAGCATCCAACACATTGAGAAACTGCACAAGGGCCTTGCTTCAAAAAAACCTTCTTTCCAAGGTAGCATGGAGGTCTTGTTCGAGATAGAGTGCAACATGAGGTCCATGACTGTCATCCGAAGCCCACGAAGGATTTTTAGGACCACAAGGATTTTTTCATCAATGTTGAGGCTCGAAGGATTGACAATCCAAATCAAAGGCTCAACAGGTGGCTGATATTGCGGCATGGGCTGGTGAAAGGCATGAAAAGGTATCATTTTATCGTCCTATTAGATGTTAAGTACTGTTGCTTGATGGACTATGATGTTTGAGAGGCGTACAATACTTTGCTTAAGGTGTGAACGAAGGACTTGTGTCAACGCTGTACAAAATACAATGATTACCTAAATCGGCATCACTGGCATCTGTCAAATTTCAAACTCCTCGCTGCTCCTGCCAAATTTTTCCGAGATCGACCAGTCTGACTACCTCAAGCACTTAACAATCTCAAAGACGTAGTCCAGACTGGTTACGAGTCTACCTTGTACTACCCTTATTATCATCTTCGCAACATGGGATTTCACAAGATCAGTCGTGACGTGAAACTTGCAACAATCCGACTCCATGAACGGAACCGAATTCTGAGCCTTCGTGACATCCTAGATTCCTGCGGATTTTTCGAACGCACTTGGTTTCGGATTTTGAGGCTCTGGCGCCAAACCAGCGATGTCGTGAACCGTCAGCCTAGCACAGCAATGCGTGGTCGTCTGCGTGCTCTCGATCATGAAGATATTGATTGCCTGCTTCGTCTTGTAAGGCAGAATCCTGACTATATTTTGGACAAGCTCATGCACCTCCTTGCAACAAACCAATTCATATCTGTCCATTTCACGACAATCTTCCACGAGCTCGAACGTGCTGATGTGAGCTACAAGAAACTCAAGGTGGTGTAAGGATCTTTGTGGGCTGGGACTGCTCAGGCTCATTATCTTCGCCGTCAGAGTCAGAGTCAGGTTCCTCTTCCTCCGAAAGTTCTTTAATTCAAGTATTGTCCTTGTCGGAGCCATTGGAATCAAGGTCACTGTCATGCTCTAGCAGGCTCTTGTGTTTTCTGAGGCAGGAATAGTTATAAATGGCACGATGATAATGAATTACAGGGAATATGAGTGTACGACGAGCAAAATTTCACCAAGTTCAACATTTCCTAATTGAACGAAAATTTCACGCCACTGCCATCCTTTACAGGATGTACGTCACGCCGGTATGTATTGAACATCCAGTTGCCAAATGGACGGTGAGCAGATCCCTTCCATTTGCCTCATGTGATTGACTGATACCATGTACCGTAGGCGACTTATTGTGACGATGTGGGCGTCACGGACAAGGGTTACATACTACATAGTAACTTCTACTAGGTTCGTGGCACCTGCGTGGCCCTATATAGGCCCTAACCACGAGCGCCCGCAATTTTGCTCTCAACACTCAAGTACTCAAGTACTCACGACCCACGCCACGTAGCTTGCTTCTCATGAATCGAGCAGCCCAGCTTGATAAACATTTCAACGACATTCTCAGAGGCAAAGTCCCTGCCAATGCACGAAGCTACCCTCTCTTATTGGAAGCGATTTGTACACAGCAAGACCCTGCGACCTGCATCAACAAAATCGTAGAGAGCTCCCATGGCTCAAACGCAGTTCAGGCTGCCATGCGTCACAATACCAGTTCCCAATTCCTCAACGACACTGCAACCAAGCTTCTGTTATATCTCTTCCGAGCACCGAACCTCGGTGATGTCTTGGATCACTTGCTCACCGCCATCGTTGATCCCCCAATTTTTTGGAGTGCCTTCAGCCAAGCATTCGATCAAGGTGAGCTCAATGAGCCAGCCCAGGAAGCATTCGCAGTGCTCCTCCTTCGCCTCATGTCCCTCACTATGGGGAATACGTCATCATACCGTGACGTCGCAAAGAAGCCTAGTATCCTTACGAGGCTTCTCAATTCATCGCAACAGACCGTCAAAGACATTGGCTACCGCATCCAACATATTCTTTCCACCTTCAATTCCGGTGCACCTACCGCTGCAGTCGGTGGACCTGGTGGTCGGCATGATAACAATTTTGTCGACTTCAGGGAGATCTCCATTCTTCCAACTGCAGACGAGATCCTCTGCCAGCAGCTTCCTTTCATTCGCCCAAGCAGTGTATTGGAGGATCCTGATGGCGAAGAAACTCGTACAGCTGACTACCTGGATAACACCTTCCACTTGCTGCGCGAAGAGATGCTACATGAGATGAGAGAAGAACTCCAGCCCGCTTTAGGGAAGAAGAAAGGGCGTCATCGTGGGCTCATCATTGATGATGTCACACTCGAGGGTGTTTACAGTGGTACAGATGATAGAAAGACTCGGTGGGGCATCAAGCTCAAATGCAAAGACGATTTCAAGTTGATGAAGAATGTCCCCGACAAGCAGCGCAAGCATTACCTCGAGAAAGATCCTGTGGGTGTCAAAATTCTCAAACATCAGTCTCTCGTTTGCGTACTTTCGGGAAATCAAATTCTTAGTCTCGCGACGGTTCATCGTGTCGAGGCACTGCTTGCGCAGAAGCCACCTGTTGTCATAATTCAGTTGGAAGGGGAGTCTAGCATCGCAAAGACTCTCCTTCAACTGCAGTCATCCGATCCCATTCGGCTCATCCAGATCGACACTGCAATTTTTGCCTTCGATCCGGTCTTGAAGGCTCTGCAGAACACCCAGTTCATTCTGCTTTCAGAGGAGCTCCTGTTCTGGAAGGACGGGAACCTTATCGGCAGCGCCTCGGTGACTGCGACTGAGATCACACGACCCCTCGCTATGAATCCCTCTGTGGATTTGCAGCAGCTCCTGGGGACTTCATCTTGTATTGTGCTTGATAAGTCTCAGGCGGCATCACTTCTGGCAGGACTCACGCAGAGGCTTTCCCTCATCCAGGGCCCTCCAGGTAGTGTTAATATCGACCGCCTATGCATATCCATTTTGCTGACATGCCACAGGAACTGGGAAGTCATTCATTGGCGCGCTGCTTGCGAAGGCTATCCACGATCACACCGAACAGAAAATTCTTGTAGTCTGCTACACGAACCACGCCCTGGATCAATTCCTGGAAGATCTCATGAAGATCGG